GCAGTGCAGGTTTAGAGCCGCATCAGCCCTGTGTTCTCCACCTCCATCTGCACCCTGGAGCTGTCCTGGTGCCACAAACCACCCAGTGACCCATGGAGATGTGGCCTGACCTTCCCCAAGCCCCCAGCCATGCTGAGGGTCATGAAACTCCCCCAAACACAGACAGACATCAGCTCGTCAGCACAGTGCCACCCTCCAGGTCCATCTCCCCTGCACTGCAGGGCCTGGGGACAGGGACTGGGGTGCAGCTCCCAGGGGCCCTGCTGACAGCCCTGGCTGGATGTTGCCGATGCTGAGGGCTCATGCATGCTCCTCACCTTAGCGAAACAGCTCATTAAGAACTGCTCATGCCGCTATTGGTGATTGTTATCATCCGAACACCCTGGGTGGCTGGCATGGAGGGCACGCTTATGAGAAAGAGCGCTGATGGATTTATCTGGAGAGGAAGTCACAGATAAAGGATTGCTCAAGCTTCATAAATAGACCCGAGGGGAAAAAAAATATGAGAAAATAGGTCAAATCGCATTGAACTTCCTGGTGAAACGAGCCCTGTTGAGTGCTGGGCCCTGGGGACAGGCAAGAGCAGGCAGTGGCCAGAGCACCCCAGGGAAGGTTGGAGCTGATGGGGTGGCAGCACCACACATTGACAGCCCACAGCCACAGGGATCTGCATCCCCCCAGCCCTGCCTGGGCACAGCTTGCAGCCCACCCGGGCTGGTGTCCAGAGCCCCTCTGGGTGCAGTACCCATGGCCAAAGGAGCCTGACTGGGCTCAGAGCTGGCGCAGCGGCTGAGGAGGGCTCTGGGGAGGTGAGGGGTTTCAGTACCGCATGCCTGGGCAGCGTGGTCCAGGGTCTGACCATCCGCACAGGGAAAAGGTTGTGTCTCCTCTTCAAACACCATTTCCCATGTTCCAGTTTGAACCTGTTGCCTCTTGTCAGCCTGGCACCGTCCCTGTTGCACCCTCCCTTCAGATGTTCATGTACATTGATAAGATCCCCCGGAGCCTTCTCCTTTCCAGGCTAAACAGCCCAAGCTCACCTAGCCTCTCCTCACAGGAAAGATGCTCCAGTCCTGTCATCATCTTTGTAGCCCTCTGTGGGAGTCTCTCCAGTATGTCCATGTTTCTCCTGTACTGGGGAGCACAGAATGGACACAGCACTCCAGGTTTGGCCTCACCAATGCCAAGAGAAGGGGAAAGATCACATCCCTTGGATAGGCTGGCAACACTTTGCCTGGTGCAGCCTGGGAGACCATTCTATGCCCCAAGGACACACTGCTGGCTCGCAGTCAGCTTGGTGTCCTCCAGGCACTTTTCCACCAAGCTGCCTTCCAGCTGGTCACCCCCAGTATACACAGATGCCAGGGACTGCTCCTCCCCCATTCCAGTTTATTCTGCTCCATGAGGGCCCTGTTGGCCCATTTGGAGATGTTGGGGGGTATTACCCAAAGCTCCCCAAGAACGCTGTCAGGTGAACACAAAGGGCTTTGCTCTTGCTGTGATGTTAACTGGATCCAGACTGGGATGGAAATCATCCCAGGAACAACGCTTGGGGCCCCACAAGCATCCACACCTCTGGGTATAATTCATTGCTTTCCTCGTTGCTCTCGTTGCCTTCCCTGGCAGTTCCCTGCACTGGGTTCATTGGGCTTTTGAGCGCTCCGGGGCCATGAGCTGTCACATCCACCAAGTCAGGATTATTCCCCCCTTCCTCTCCAATTTGCATTGATGCAGCACGTTGAGTTGAATCTGCTGTTTATCGTCCAGCCTCTCGCTAACGCTGAGCTCCTGCCGCAGCTCACGGTGTGTGTCTATGAGCCAGCCAGTCACTGAGGTGCAAGGGGTGGGGATTAAGGAGCCAAAATAAGCCCTGAGTGGACACCCCTGTGCAGCCACACCGGGGGAATGGTGGGTCTCCTCCTTGCAAAGCACCGTACCAGCAGCAGCATCTTGTCCTGCCATGGCACTTGCTGCCAAATGCAGCATGTCCATGTGGACATGTCCTGCTCCGGTACCGCCAGTGTGCCGTGGTGGGACTGCAGCATCACCGTGCATGACTGTTAAACAAAATAGGGCTTTAGCTTATGTGATGGTGCTTAATGTTTAATGCTCTTACTTATAAGGAGGGTGTTACGCATGGATAGTCTTGTGCGCTGGTGGTCGCCGCTAGTTCATCCTCCTCCCCAGAGAGGCACAAGCGGCCTCTCTAATCCCTTCCCCAGGGTCTTCTTTGCTCTGAAGGGACTTCAGATATGTCACCTCCTCTCCCCACCTCCACCAGGCTCTCACTCTGGGGGAGCATCCCCGAGGTGTCAGTTCAGGTTGCTCTGACTTGGCTTGTCACAACCTTGCAGCCCACTCCAAGCCATGTGTCTCCATCACCATCCGCACTCACTGGTGCTCCCAGTCGCAGGAGGGCTCAGCCCCCATCCACTGTTGGGGGAGCTCACCAACCTCCATGCAGAAGCTGGGCTGGGACCCTGGGTGCACTCCTTGCTCCCAGCAGCCATTTCCTAACCCCAGGCTGCCTGGCTCTGTCTCCAAAGAGGGGGTTCAGATCTGGGATGCTTTGGTGGGGTCAGGGGAGCAGGGTGTTGCTCTAATGGCCCTTCCTCCCTCTCCAGGACGCTGACGGACCTGCTGAAGCAGCCAGGTCATGGCCCCTCCGAGCACATGGATGGCTTCATGGGGGGCGTACAGGTCCCGCTGGGTGAGGGTCTGGCCCGCGGGTCCCCCCGGAACGACGCAGGTAAGATGCTGGCATGGCGGGGAAAAACAAGCTCCCCATGGTGAATAAAGGCAAAGGCATTTATTCACTCAGCCTTCAGCTGAGCCCCCCGCCCGCCTCTGTCCCCCAGACAAGCCACCCTTGAACAACGCTGTGACCATTGCCCCCCCGCTGGGGCGGCCCCATGGCCATGGCAAGCGTCTGCCCCTGACCAGCAGCCTGGGCCTGTCGGCCCCTGCCTACGCTGCCTACACCACCCTCAAGGCTGGAGGTGAGTGCTGATGCTTCACGGGGGGGGGGGCGCACCCCATGGACACAGCAGACAGGTGGGGAGGGGTGGGGGACTCACAGAGGGGCATGGGCAGGACACGCACCCCAGGGCTCCTGCGCAACTGCTCATGGCAGAGGCTTTGCTGGCCCCCACTACCCCATAGACTTGCTCCACTGTCCAGCCAATCAGAGCCCAGGATCCCCCATGGACCCACTGCACTCCCCAGCCCAGATCCTCAGAGCCCAGGATCCTCAGAGCCTCATCCTCCATGGACCCACTGTGCTCCCCAGCCAATAAAGGCTCAGGATCTCACATGGATCCACTGCACTCCCCAGCCAATCAGAGCCCAGGATCCCCCATGGACCCACTGCACTCCACAGCCAATGAAGGCTCAGGATCCCCTATGATCCACTGCAGCCCCCAGCCAACTACAGCTGGACCACTTAGGATCATCTGTTTCCTTCAAACAGCCAGAGTTCAGGATCCCACATAGACCCACTGCACTTCTCCAGCCAATCAGCATCCAGGATCCCACACACACCCGCAGCACTGCCCACCCAATCAGAACCCAGGATCCCCCACTACCCTACAGCACTTCCCAGCCAATCTGTGTCCAAGATCCCCCCCTCCCCAGCCAATCATCACACGGGATCCCTCCCGCTCCACTCCCTATCCTCACAGACAGCGCCCCCGAGGACTTCTACCTGCGGCTGGGGGGCCCGGAGCCTGCTCCCTCCGGCACGCTGCCCTTCCCGCACGCCGAGGCGCCCGTGCTGCCCGAGGGCTGCCCCTTGCCCAAGGCCAAGCTGCCGGGGGGCCCGGCCTTCCCGGGGGGCTGGGAAGGGGCCGCCCCCCGCGCCCCCCGCCGGCCCGGCCTGCCCCTGGGCGCTGCCACCCCGCTGTACGGGCCTGCGCCGCGGCACCTCGCCACCAACAGCAAGACCGAGGTCACCGTCTGACACCGGCACCGCCGCTGGGCTGAGCGCCGCTGACAGCCTGCGGGGACTGCGGCGGCCGGACCTGGTAGGGGACGGGGCTGGCGGCTGCGCTTTGCCAGCGAGCAGGCACCGTGGGGCAGGCGAGCATCCCGGGCACCGAGCTTCAGCCGTTCCCAGCCTCTCCATGAAGGGGCTGTGCCGGGGCACACGAGCAGTGCAATGCGCTGTGCTGCTCTGCTCAGGGGACGGTGCTGGACAGACCACAGCCCCCAGGGATGGGGGACACATCCTGCCGGGACCAGGCACCCCCACCCAGCTCCTGTGAGCAAGTCGGGGAAGAGCAACAGCCTCAAAGCACTGTCCTGGTGCTGGCAGCAGAGCAGACCCTTTCCCTCCCCAGCATCCCCTTACCCACTGCCTCAGCCTCCACCTTGTCAATAAATACTACATTAAACTGTATGGCCTTGGTATGGATTGGCTGGGGGAACTCCATGCTGCTCCCAAAACCCCAGCTCCTCCACAGGCAGAAGGGGCAAAGCCTGCTCCCAGCCATGGAACACCCCCCGATGGAGGAAGTGGTGGGAACAGTGCTTCCAGAGCCAACTGAACAACTCTTTAAGCAGCTACATGAAAACGAAACGGCTCTTCTCTGGCTGAAGCTTAATGGTTCTGACAGAGTTTTACCAGGGGGAGCACAGAACCAGAGATGGAGTGAAAGGACACTGTTCCAAGCAAGGTCAGGTAAAAGCTCTCTATGAATATAGATGCTCCCAAAATTGCAGGCTTCTGGCCCAGCTCTGCCTCACTTGGCCCTGCTCAAGCCATCAGCCCCTTGGGTTGCTTCCAAGGGAGCACAGAGACACTACACTTGCTCCACCAAGGGGCGTTTGTCATTGTGAACGATACAGCTCCATTGTCCAGGTTATCCAGACAGAGGAGTGACAGCTTCCGGGGGCACTTGCATGACTGAATGTCTCTGAAGGGTGGCTCAGGCTCACCTATGCTTGAGAGCAGCTGCTGGGCAGGATGAAGAGGGCTATAAAGGAAGAGGGCAGGCAGGAGGTGGTGGTAACGTTCACCTTTATTAGGTACCAGATGCTCAGGGGCCCTGGCACAGGGTTTTCAGACAGCAGATCTATTCCTTGGGGAACCTCCCCGCCACCAGTTGCATCTCGTATCACAAATCATCCCTACTCCAACCTCCATGTGGATAAATAGATTTTCTTCACACAATCCATAAAACAATTTTCTCCCACCCACAAACGAAGAAGTTACAGTATATACACACACACACATATAAAAAAAAAGGTGTAGGATCAGACAGGCAGCAAACTGATGAACAGCATAATAAAAACAGGGCAAAGACCCCTGGCCCTGGAGGGTAGAGAAGAACTAGCAGTGCTGGTTCCCTCTGTGAATCATGCCCCACAGCCTCCCAGCCCCACCGGTACTCCCTGCAGCCCAGATCTCAGTCCACTCTTAGTGACAAGTGAAGCCTCAGCACCATGGCTTTCCTGAAGCTTTACTTCCCCCCACTTTACTAAAGCACAAAACTTCCCCCGTGTTGCACCCAGACCCAGGGAAATAACTTGGAGGTTGCCCCAGGTAAGGAGTTTCTCTAGTTTAGGAAAAAACAACCACCAGGAAGACACTGTGAGAGACACTTAGGAGGATGAGATCCACTCCCCAAAAGAGATCACCAATAAGCTAGGAAACTCAGGAATGGCCAATCAGTACCCACCCAAATTGATCAAAGACACCCAAGAGCAACCTCTTCCCCTTCAAAAGGATAAGCTCCCATCCAGCTGCAGACACTGGGAAGCAAGGGATGCCCTAGCCTGTCAGCAGGGTGAGGAGCACAGGCTCCTGGCCATTGCAGCAGGGTTTCCACCAGATATTATTCCCAAAATGAAGTGGGGGATGGAGGGAAGCATCTTATGGTCCCCAAAACAAAAGCATCTTTTGTTTGCAGCTATAGCTCAGGGTCACTGGGAAAGGGCTTTGCTGGGAGACAAGTTTCTCCTGGATGCAGTTTCCACCTTGTTGAAGCCAAGCAGCTGCAGGACCACCGTCACTTGTGTTCAATGCTGCAGCACACAAACTCCCCAGCCCAGATGCCAAAAGACCCTGTGCAAGTGAGACAAGTGCCCGTCTCTTTCCCCTCAATTTGGAAGGAGCTCAAGCTCTCACACCCGTCTGCAAAATCTGGATGCACACAGAAGCTTCTTGCCCCAGTCTGATTCTACAGGGGTCAGGCTGCACAGGCCTGACTGGGACAGCATTGGACTCGGCTGCTGCCCATATCCAAGTGCTTCTAGATGCTGACACAGACCACAGACCAGCTACTGCAGGGAGAAACAGGGATGCCCACCCGCCAAAGACTAGTTTCCACATTTGCACACACAAGAGTGTGTGCACTTCTTTGGAGAGATGCAACAGGGAAGGCAGAGAAGGTGGCAAACCGTTCCCTCCCTGTCCCCAGTCTGCCTCCCCCATCTTGGAAAGTCACAGGTGATCCATCACCTGCAAGTCAAAGTGCTCTGAACAGTGATGGTAACAGAGCTGGGAGACTCATCCCTGGAACCACTGCCTCCCAGTCCCTGCTGGAGCTCCAGAGCTGCTGAGCAGTTGGAGAACGGAAGGAGAAACACCTGAACACAAGTTCTGGGGCTGGGACCTCAGTAAAATTAAAACTCTGTTCCTAAAGACTGCTTCTGCATCAATAAAAAGGCACCAGAACAGCATCCGCCCTTCACACCGACTGCAGGCCGCTGCACATCCACCTCTGCTGCCACCCAGCACCAGATGACCTGGGGTGCCCCAGCCTTCTAGAGGGCTCTGCTTGTAGAGCTGCCACAAACCCAGTCCCCTGTCAAAACCCAGGGGCAGCTGTCAGAGGAAGGAGATGCATGAAGTGGAGAGGAAGGGAAATCTGCTGCATCGGTCCCTATGTTTCTGTAAAGCCACAAACACTCCTATAAAAAAAACTGTATAAAAACCGTAGATAAATTTGCTGGGCAGTACTGGCCCCAAGCAAGGCTCCCGGAGCACCTCTGTAAACTGGGTCTAGGGGGCTTCAGTTTCCCCACATACAGCTCAAGGAAAGCTGGTGCCTTTCCCCCTTCTCTTGGGAACAGCCCCAGACCACAGCAACCCCAGGGGGCAAGGCCTGAGCGGATTCTCTGCCTTCCCCAAAGGTTTCCACAGAGGTGTTTGGGAAGGGAACGAGATGCCCCTGAGAACAGACACGGGATGTGCCACTTCTCTATGCTTTGGGTGTGCAGGCTTCTCCCCCCAGCAGGGATGGGGGCTCCAGGCTGGGCCAGCACCTCCCAACAGCCCCAGGCACGGTCGCAAAAAACCTCAACTGAACAAGATTCCTGCAGCAGTGCCTGAGAACAAGCAAGGGGGCTAATAAAGCTAAACCTGGGGCAATTAAAAAGGCAGAACAAAACCAAAACCCTCCCTCTCCCACCCCATCACGACCCCACCAGCACAGCCCTAACCTCACACTTTAGTTTTTTACAAGCTCCAGAAGGGAAGTCCAGGCTGATGGTCAACCAGGCTCTGCACAAGGCAGCCCCACGCCAGCACTAGGAGGCAGCAATGGCCGTGCCCCCGCTCAGCTTGACGATCATCTGCTGGCAGTCATTGCAGGAGCGCTTGTCCCCCACCTTCTCCAGGGTGCGGGCAGCCTCAGCCAGCAGGACCGCTCGCTGGCCCGGCGAGGAGAGGAAGGAGAGAGGAAGGTGGCGGCAGGCCAGCAGGATGGCTGTGGCTCGCTCCCTTTGGCCTGGCAGGGTGTCCAGTTCACCTACAGGCAAAGAGGAGAAAGTGAAGGGTGAAGCTACCACCTGCATGACAAACCCCACCGTGCAGGCCCTTGACTGGCACCACTGAGCACAAGCATCTCTGGCGGGCATCATCGGCTGTGCCTAGAGTGGGGGGCACCCTGCAGCAGGTCCTTTAGGCTGGCAGATGAGAACAGTCTGAGCTGGAGTCAGGCGAGGACTGGCAATCCTGTCTTTTACAGAGATGGTCCCTTTTACTTCACTTCCTAGAGCTCAGTCCCAGCAGCACCACACATCTGCCCATTTTCTTAAACACCCAGGGCATTTTACAACCACCACCATGTCTCTTGGCTCTCCCCTTTAAGATTCCTGGCTTCTGCCTTTGCATTGACCTCCCCAAACTCCAGACTGCCAAGTTTCAGGCACGTGTGGCTGAACAAACGTTTTCAAGCCTGTTCACTGACACCACCAGCTCAGGACTGGCAGCTCACATTAGCCAACTCACAGAGATCAAGGCAGAAGCATTATTGTGAGCCACAGGATGATGGGAGATCATTACCCTGATCCTCAGACACAGGGAAGAGGCTGCAGTTGGCTGCTATGCCCCCCTAACCTTGCCCAAGCACTGCCCCCTCCCAGTGGGGCCCCTGTGGCTGACCTTGCTTGCTGCTCTGGGGCGTGCGGCGCCTCAAGCTGTGCTCCAGCAGCTGGTGGGTGCGGGTCGGGCTGGCACCAGCCATCAGGCGCACGGTGGCCTCATGGAGGAAGACCTGGAAGTGCAAGGAAAGGTGGGATGGAGGGTGAGAGGTGGGCTGGCACAGGGGCGATGCTGGTGCTGAGCGTGTGTCATCCCTCAGCCACCGCACTTCCAGAGCAGAGCACTGATGCCTTGCCAACAGCAGAGACCCATTTCCACACTCCTCCCTCATCTTCCCACCTGTCTCTGGGGAATTTGCAGGTCAGGGCAACCGTGAGGGAGGAAAAAAGCTTTTGACACATAACAGCAAGTGGCCTGGAAAGGGGGAGGCACAAGAGCAGGAACAGGGTGGAAAAATGGGACTGCAAACCCTGGCACTGTGGCCTGGGTGGGCATCTCACCCAGGCTGCTAGTGCAGCACTCCAATAACAGTATCAAACATTGAAATCCAGAATGTGGACAACACCAGCATATCTCTGTTGTCCTGTTATACAACATTTCCTCTACAGAGGCTTAAAACTAGACAAAGGAGAACATAAGTGGGGGGGAAACCCCAGGGAAGTGCCAGGGTACAGCTAAGGGGGTACAGCTAAGCTCTACAGGTGCAGAAGGCATCTCAACCCCCCTGGCTACCTGCAGAGCCAACATGGCCAAGTGTTCCTTCCACTCGCACTAGAGTGACTGACCTGGCCTGAAGTCCCATTACAGGACAGAACGCTACGGTATTTGCTTGGCAGTACAGACGTGATTGCTTTCTAGGTAGAAACTGAGGCAGGCATCTCCCGACATGCACCGGACTCCCATGGGAACCTCCCTCATCACCCACCAAGTATGGAGGCTGCCAGTGGCAGACCGTCCCACCCCAAGCATCCAAACCACTCAAACCCACATAAACCCTATACTTTGAGGGCCCATGGCTTCCCCTGGGAAGGGGTACAGCTAAGCATGCAGGGGAGGCAAGCATCACCTTGCGATAGGCAGGTCGGAAGCCGTGGGCCAGCTTGCGCAGGCTGCCGAGGTCGCGCTGGAAGCCCGTCAGCTCGGGGGCCGAGGCGTGGTAGGTCTCACCCAGGGCCTGGCTGGCATTCGCCTGCTTCTGCCACAGGCTGGTGCGGAGAGAGAGCAGCAAGTCACAGGCCAGCAGCTGGATCATCTGCAAGAGCCGGGCGCCCGGGCACACACGCTTATTAACACATCCCATCAGGCGGGTAACAGGCCTTGTGCTACACAGCTGCAGACACAGCACCTCCTGCCCTCCCAGGGGCCCTCCCAGCCACATCATCCCCACCACGATGCACCCGGGGGAGCAGGGCTTTGCCTTCTGCCCAAGCGGCATCTCTGAAGCCCAACACTGAGGTCCAGCCTAAGGAGCAAGCACCCAGCTGTGTCCAAGGAGGTCCAACACCTCCACAAGGCTGACCTCCACCCAAGGGAATACTGCACCAGCAGTGCCCCGGCCTTCTGCAAAGGCTTTCCTGCCCAAACAGTGATACTAACTAGGGTAAAGTGTAAAGACAGCCTTGCTACCTGCAAAAGAATAAACAGGCAGTCTTGACACAACTCGAATCCCTTTTCCCCATCTGCTGCTGCCCCCTAGCATCGCCTGCTGTCCTAGTTGCTCTTAGGGGACCCTACCCACACTGCAGAAGCAGAGTGCCTCTGTACTGCACTGCAGAAACATTGCACAGTTACTGCCACAACATGCAATGCAACTACAATGCACTACAGCTGCCACCCAGGAGGGATGGAAGGGACCAGAACTGTGTCCCATGTGCCATGAAGGGAAGGTCCACCTTTAGGCAATCCTGGAAAGAAGAGAAATAAGCCCCACACAAATAGCACAGTCCCACTTTTTCGGTAAAGGGTTCAAACACTCACGAGTGCTGCCTGGAACAGCAGACTCAACATAATGAGGTCCTGCTTTACAGGTGTCAGAAACTTCATTTACAGAATGGAGATGGATGATTTCCATGGGCCAAACTTGATATGGTCAAAGCACCAGAAAGGGGTGACAGCTATTGGGCAGGAGATGAGCAAGAGCTCAGCCATCTGAGACCATGACCAGAAAACAATGTTTTACCCACAGCTCTGCTCCTCCATACAGCAGAGGCAGAAAGATGTAAATGCCCTTTGCAAGGAAAGGTAAGAAGTTTTCTCTCTGTTCCCAGGAGACACAGGATGAATGGTGAATATTGATACAACACAGAAATCATATACCCACAGCAAGATCAACCTTACAACCAAGGCAAACCACGTGCTATCTCAGGCTTGTAACTCTTACATTGTTGAGGACTGTGCTGGAGATGCTGCTGCTCATGTTGAGGCTGTTCCATAAGTGACTGCTGGCCCTCTCGCAGTGACCCAGGGAGCTCTGCTGTCCATCTGCTTTCCCAGACAGCGAGGCCTGCATGGCTTTACACACGTAGAAGGTGGCTTTCACCAGGGCATTCCTGGAAAAGAAAGAGAGCGCTGCTTTCAAGCAGTACCACGTCAGGCTGCCACAGGGCAGCTCAAGGAGCTGAGCTCAAGCAGCAACCAGCATCAGCTTTCACCCTCCCATCTTCAAGAGCAGAGGTGTCATTTCTTAGACAGGAAAGAAAGATAGGAATTGTTTATCTTACAGAAACACAGACTGCAGAGAGAGATGGAAGCAAACTGGCAAAGGTGCTTTAGTGCAAAAGAACCAAGAAGGTGATACCAGCCTTTCCATCAGTGCGTTAGTTGTTTGATTTTGGAAGGTGGCAGGCTGTGCAGTTAGAACAAAGCCAAAAGACATCCCTAAAGAAGCGATTCTGACACTTCCAGCCCACAGCTCTGCTATCAGCCTGCACGCCTTGACCTACATGTGAACTGCTGAGCACATTTGCATGAGAGGTGTGCAGCTCCAGGGCACAGGTAAGGGCAGCCCCACAGGACAGCATTAGGGGAAGAGCCACCCCATTTAGAAGGGACAGGAGCCTGGAAATCGCTTGAGGCTTACGCACTCGGACATCTCCAGGGACTTCGGCATACGCTCCACTTCGGCAAAGTGCGACCTCACGGCTGCATCGTCCCCTCTGAGCCAACCAATTGCCATCGCCACCGCTGCTGACCACCATCTGCACACCATGTCAGGGCCTGTGGAACACAATCTGGAGCTGCAGCCTCGGAGGGGACACCCGGCTCCTTCCACCGAGGTCGACGCTATTGAGCCCCAGCAGATCCCACAGGAACGCAGCCATCCAGCTCAATGCTGGAATGTACTGCAGGAACACAAGGGAACTTGGCAGCAGGCAAACACCCTACACTAACTGCAAGCAGTTCTGGCTGCCGAGTTTGTACCTTGTCAGCAAGGACTTACCTGTCTACTAGTCTAGAAACCTGTCGGCTCCCTTCCCAACAAGGATCTCCACTCACCACCCCAAAATAACAGCTCCACTCATATTCACTGTGCCTTGGCACTAATCGCCATCAAGCCAGTAAATCAGGTCTCCTATATAATTTCCCCTGTTATTTCACACCCCCTGAAAAACTTCCCAAAGTTTACCTAGGCCCAAAGGACATCAGCTCTGCTACTCTGACCTGCTTTTAAATTTCATTACAATACTGGCTCAAAAATAGACTTCCCTTTATTAAAAAAAAAAATAATCCCTAGAAAAATAAATGTCTAGTTTTTCTTGTATTTCTGCTCTGCACATTGTAGGCACAGCATATTTCGTGTGTCTCTAAGGCTCCATCAGCATCCCAGTGAGCTGCCAGGTGCTGCCTGTACCAATACTAAGCAAGACAAATACTCCAGGAGCCTGCTACCAGCTAAGCCCAGATGATCTCATGGCTCAGAGGAGTCTACATATCTCGTTGTCACACTAAAATGCAAGTGCCTCCTACAATATGCCCAGAACTTGCCTACAGCCAGGGCTGCAGGACAGCTGCTGTGAAAGTGAGGTCAACCTGTATTGTGTCCAATAGGTCATTAAGTTAAAAATCCCAATGGCAACAGTGCTGTGCTTGTCTATAAGCTACACCCTTCCTCCCACTTTGCATTGCCAGGAGCAAGCCCTCAGGTAAGGGCTTGGGGTGCAGCTTGAGCATGCAATCCCATACCACACTGTGGTGTGCTGCTGCTCAGCAATCAAGTCTCACTCCAAGGGCTGCCCTTCTCCCTGCATGGAGTTTCAGAGGCAGTGGGGCAGAGAGAACAGGTATCAGCAATAGTTCCTGCAGCTGGGCCAGCTTCGGTTCTGCCAGACTTACCCAGGGCAGACTTGAGCACAGAAGTGCTGGCAAAGGGTGGAGCTCCACTTCCCATTGAGTCCAAGAAAGAGTTGAGCAGTTTCAAGTACTCCATGGCACTGGAGAACTCACTGAAACAAGAAGCAAGGCGGACCTTCACTATGCTGTCACACAAGGGATACCAGTGCTTTTAGATGCACTTCTTAGCAGTCACAAGTCATTTTTAAACCGTGCTGACCCCTTAAAGCAGCAGCAAGTTCAAGCCCTACAGGAAACACAACACTGCTGGACTGAAGAGACCACCCTGAGAGTGGAAGCACACAGGCCAATGCTCACGGAGGAGCAGCCTCACACCTCCCCATGCAAGGGGACCAGCACAGAACTAGAGTCAACTCCAGAAGCCTCATCTCAGCCTCAGAGATGCTGCACATGTTACAAGTTGATTACAGGCTCCTTTTCAATCACTGCCTCTAAAAGTGCCTGAACTACTCTTCTGCAAGTGGTTATTTGCATATATGCAAATACATATGAACGCAAGTGACAACGCATTCACAGTGCTGGTCAGAAAAAGCAGCACATGCAGCAGTGATCTAATTTCCTGGGACATGCTACAGAGGAAGATGTTGAGCTCCTACCCCTAGAGGGGGGCAAAAAAGCTTGGTGTATTACTAAAGCCAGTCCTTCCCAAGAGGAAACAGGACTCCCACAGACATATTGCAAATCCACCCCACTTATACAACTTCTGCTACTTTATCTCATCATCAACGGCAGCATCTGATCACAAGCACGTGTACTGTGGCAGCAATTAGACTGAACTGCTGTTCATTCTCTGCAACGATGCTAGGCATGAGATTGAAAACAAAAGGAAGTTAAATAAGATAAACGTGCAGTATTTCCCCTACAGAGAGAAATGATGGGTTATCTTCCCATTTGAGGCTTTTACCCACACTTTCTGGGAACAGGATCCTTAGAGAACTTCCCATATATTTGCATAGTGTTTGCCTGGCACCACTATATCTGGGTATCAGCTAGAAGCAGTGTTGAATTACTGGCAAAACCCAGTGCTCCATTTCTAGGAAAAAGGTGGTTCTGTACAAAAAGCTGCTTCAATTCCTACCTATCAGCCCTTTCATTTGGTCACAGAGCTTAGACGCAATGATAATTTCAGCCAACATCATCACTTGCAACACATCAGTTTGATTTTTCACTGCTGGTAAATGTGACTTTTCAGTTAGGGGGCTGTTCATGCATAAGACAGTGAGCTGGGGGGAAGATGGGGTCACTCCCTGACACACTAGACCTTCATGCTCTTAGAGCCCTGCACATATGTTCTGCTGGTATGTGCACCCTAATTTTAGCACTCCTGAACATTAAACTTTGTCACAGCAGAGAAGGCACCATTCGTTCAGTTCAGGAATTGATCAGGACTGTGCCAGCTGACACCAGAAATCCTTACTAGACACAGGTTCACCTTTGACTTTAGATGTTTTAATACAAAGAGGCAGAGCTTACTCTTGTTGTGGTGGCCAGACTTACATTGTCATTTCAAGTCTTCAACAGGGACTAACCACTCAGTTTGCCCCAGAGCGCTCAGACAGTGGTCATGAGCTCTGCCCCAGAGCAGGCCAACTGTGACCAGCATGTAAACTTACCATGGCTCCTCCTCCTCTTGTTCCACTATCTCTTTCCTAGTCTGAGGCTTCACAAGAGAATCCACTGCTCGCTCCAGCAGGTTCTCACAAAATGCCTGATGAACTTGTGCAATAGGATCCGCTAGAGAGGAAACAAAAACCAAACCACTTCACTTGCATACAGCGATAGCCACCCTCCAATACAACTGAAAAGAAGAATTAAAACATGGGAGCAAGAAGAGCAAGTAGAAGGAAATACTTGAGGAATTAATGCACTGATTTCTAAACACTAAGTTTTCAGGGCCTTTTTAACCCTTTAATCCATTTACAAAGCTGCAGCCTTTGGCCAAATACTCCTCTGGCACTTCTGCCATATGACGCTGCTCACCCCAAAGTCACCCCCCAGACATTCAACGGCCACATTCAGGTTGCATTCCAACATATAAAGACACAAGTACGATGACACAGCAGTGTATCCAAAGGGGGAAAGCCAGGTCCTGCAAGCTGAAGACACATCGCTCAGCTCCACAGCCCCTCTTGCCTGTCAAGTCCACATACAAGAGCATGGTCTCAAACAAGACACCCACTTTTGCCCCAGGGGTGGAGAGATAACCAGGCTCAAAGTGCTATGAGCCCAAGCACTCGTGATGAAAGCGGCTCTCACCAGGGTTCCTCTGGGTGCAGTACAGGCTCTCCTTTGCAGCTGACTTGACCGTCCAGCTCCGGTCCACAAAAAACTTCTGTCCCAAGGGGTGGCACAACCAACGCAACGAGTCAGGAATGGCACTTCGCTCCGAGCTGCACAGGCTCTGAGCCTGGCTTAGAAAGTAGCTCTGGGGAAAGGAGAGGCTAAGGTTGAGAACAGCACCCAGGGAAAGAGACACACCACTGGGGACAAAGGTCATATCACAATTACAGCTTGTATCATAATTGCAGGCCATATTGTGATTACTGTGCTGACAGATGCCCTGAGCTACAGCAATGCCAGCCCGCAGGCCTTCCCAGAGCTCTGCTTGGAGGTGGGATGGAAGAGGAGACCACAACTCACCGCTAGGAAGCCCAGCTTGCCCCCACAGCGGGTCTTCAAGCCAACGGCGGCTGTCAAGTGGATTTCTGCCATTGTGCTGGGTGGGATCTTCTCTTCTGCGCACTCAGCCAGATTCACAGCACACAGGGCCATGTGCAAGCCCGAGTAAGCTGAGCTGGAGGGAAGTTTACCTGCACCAGGAGGGAAAGGAAAAAGTGTTAATTCTTAGTGAAGTAGTGCCAGCTGCTAAATACTGCCATGATGTGCAGGGCTACTGTCCTAGAGAGACAAGAAGGACCTGTTGACGTGAGAAGTTTACAACCACATACACCTACTCTGTAGTCAGGCAACAGAGCAACCATAACCGAGTCTTTCCTTCACAGATACCAAGGTTGCTATCCACTGTGAGAAAGCCTTATACAGCTAAACTAGTTAGGATAAAATCATCAGTAATATCTGTCCTATTTATCACTATCTTAAAACTGAACTACTTTGCAGTCCCCATCTGTACCTACACAGATAATATTAAGGACTACTACTTGTCCTTGGTGGCATGGCTACAATTTACACAGCATTAGGTAGAAGGAAGTTTAGCTTGGATTTCTGATGTGCTTGGAGCCTATTAACATTGCAAATTGGTTTGCCAAGGAAACAGCAAAAACAACCGCTCACAGGCACCATTCATGCACTTCCTTAGTACATGTGCACGCAGGGTTTCAAAGCTTATCAACGCCAACTGGTGCTCTACACAGCTTCGGAAATTTAAGTTCTTCCAGCAATTAACCTCAGCCCTGCTTCCATATAATGTTCCCAAGTGATACAGATAAAACAAGCCCTTAAGAGCAGCAAAAAAAGTGACCGGACTCCACCAACTGCTGCTTGGGAAAAACTCTCAGCCTGGACACGTTCCTGTGTAACCTTATCTAGGTGTTCCTGCTCCAGCAGGGGGATTGGACTAGATGATCTTTTGAGGTCCCTTCCAATCTCTAACATACTGTGATACTGTGATACTGTGATCTGTGCAGACTAGGGAACACCCACCTCAAGACACTGCTTTTCTCTAGCCCTTCTTACAGAGCTCTCTTATTGCTTAAACCTCTTGTATTCTAGGAAGTGGCTCCTGAAATTTGTCAGGCTAATATCCAACAGCAGCCCTCCTGGAGAAGGGAGGCCGCAGCACTCTCCCTGTATCCTCTAGGATCAGCTCTGAACCTCCTCATATGCCAAATGAGGACAGCAGATCCTTCACCTCTGCTCCTACCTGTTATGTGAAGCTGATGGAGCTTGTGATACGCTAGAGCTGCATCGCGAGCACTGGTCTTGGCCTCGTCCTCGAAGCCTGCAGTGGCCTCCCTTGCCCGCCACTGATGAGAAGTCCTCTTCAGCAGCCACCGCACCAGTGCCAGCTTCTGCAGGCTATAGCGGATGACGTTCCAGGACAGGCTGCAGGCCAAGTCCAGGCGGGAGGCTGGCAGTGCTCGGCCGAGTACCGACAGGCAAGTCTGCAGGTTTGACGCAGCTGCGGCAAAATCCCCCTGCAAATAACACGAGAAAGAGTTCAACAACAAAAGCACCGTCACAGAGACACTCCTGGGCACTGAGAACACGACACGCCGATGTGCAAGCTAGGACAATGTCTTTAGCTGAGGGCAAAGATGAAGGCAACTTACATCAGCTTCAAATTTGGCCTTACACATATCTTTCCACACATGGGTCTGTTCCGAGAGACACATCAGCACTAGCTGACAGGAGCTTCCTGCCTTCTCAAGAAACATGAAGTTTCCCCATATCAAAAACCAAATGTTGGCTCAACAATGGGGAGAACTTCTAAAAGGCTGGAGAACAACAGGCAGACAGAGCAGACAGAAAAAGCCAGATTCTGGACAAAACCCAAGACCTTCTGTGGAGATAGCTACAGGATGCAGCAGCAAGGAACAAGGACAAAAGTTAGGAGCCTCTTCCAATACTGACATCCAGCCCTGCTAACTTAGGCTGCGGGAAGTCTAAGGTGCTAGGTTATCTTGAATCCACTCAAGACAACCTAGCACCAACTAATCTGAAATCAGACAGGACAATCCACTTGAATACCATGCTCTTGCAAACACCAAGCCACCGTCTCACTAGGCAACATTTATCCAAGCCCCCTCCTAGAGGATGCACTTAATGCAAAATGACAAGTCAGCTTTACCCGTGCCAAATCCAGGTCTGCCTGCTTGCGATGCCTCCAGAAGGTGACCGATGACCGGGAGTGCAGCCGGGTCACTGGCTCTCCATGCACGAGGAGCTTTATGAACACGCTCAGTACAATCACCCCGTTCACAAGCCACAGGATCAGCGTGGGCATCATCCATCCGAACCAGCCACCTGCATCTGCAATGGACATCCCAAACAAGGAAAGGTAGGAGTTAACCTGGACACTAAAAGCCCAGCAACAGAAGACCCAGAAGGATGTCTTGCTATGCTTGCCACAGGTGGTATCAACTTTTGCAAAGCCTGCAGTTTAATCAGGAAACATCTGTATCTACAGCTCTTCATCCAAACTCCAAGCCACAACATTCCCAGACAAACAAAAGTAGTGACTTTTTACATACCAAGATTACAAAAAAAGAAAACCAACAAAATCCAGGAATCAAACTGAATCAGTGCTCAGTTTTCCTAGAGTACCTTGTATTCTGATTTTTCTATTAAATACACCCATCTGTACACATTACTTCAGTGTCCTTTTCTGATCCTAATTAATATTTACCAGTCAAAGAAATGACAGCATGCCTACAGAATCCCCTGCCTTCCCCCGAAGCTGCTGTACGCCAAACTGAATATTATGAAACAAGTGTGTTGAACAAGACAGTTGCAAGACCCCATAAGAACACTGTTTTTGAAGTAATTCTTCACCTATTACTTTCCTATTAAGTTACAAAAATCGGTCACTTACCTTAAATATAAAGTGAACACGCCTCAAGGACTGGTGAGGACAGGAGCAAGCTCCTTACCCTGAACTACTTTTCTAGGGTCTATCCCGAGAGCCCAGGCTGCTGGGCTACAAGTGGGTACTCCCTCTACCTCACCACATATGGCTGGTTCTGTGCAAGAACAACGCTGGATGTGGATGTAAACTGGAACCGGGTCCAAGCACTCTCACTGGCTCTCCTCCCACACCCAGCCCTGTACTACCCCTCCCTACCATCAAACAAAGGTGTACAACTAACTCCCTGAGCACACAAACCCATCCCACTGAACCACACCAAAAGTCCACCTCGCAACCTGCAGCTGTCACTGCAGATGACAGCTTTTAGGTCTTTAGGGAGACCATGTAAGCCCGGCCGCTTCCTGTGGTCCAGACTCTCCAGGTTCCTTACCTGACTCAACGGTCAGCACGTTCCTGCCGGAGCCATGCCGCACCAGGCTGTCGGGCTCTGGGGTTCCTCGGGCGTCCAGCAGGGATGTCAGGGGATTGAAGGAAAGGCAAAGGAATGTGAGAGCACAGAGGAGTATTCGAGAGCGATCCACCATACCAAGGGCCACAGGAGGAGAGTCAGGCTCATCTTTAACCTTCAAAGGAGTCAAAAAAAGGAGAAAAAGACTGCTTATTTTACAGAACAAAAAATACTTATACCAAGGGAGGAGTAAGGAAAAAAGGAGAACCAAAACACATGTTAAAATTCGCTTTTTAGGTCAAGACCAGCAAGAACTCCAGTGAAGCTTTCCCTAGCTTAGTAAGATAAGACTAAAGTATTTGAGTGCCTTCACCTTCCTTCTGCTCCCAGTTATTTCAGTTATCATTAACTGGATCCCTGGGTTAGGCTAGGATTAATCTTTACTGCCTTTACTTCTTCTATGATACCCACAAAGCTAACCTTCATCCAAAGACAGCTAACAGCTTTATGTTACTGTGGCTACTTAAGAGTATCATTAACCACAGCTGATGTCACTTGATTTCCAAGTTCTCCTGCTTATCCACTGGGTATATATATACACCCCTGGAAAGCCGTGGGCTCTTCAGGTCAGGAACATGCACCATAAGTCCACAGAGACTCTACAGAGGCTGAAGGCCAAGTACAGTTCTTCTAGCAGCTAAGGTATGGCTAAGATAATACAGCTCAGGAAGTAGTCTCAATCATTTAAGAACAGGTAAAAAACACCAATGCACCTCCTCATCCTTACAAGGGATCTGTCCCCTACAGATCTGCTTGCCAGATGCCTGCTGCTTCTCCTCTTGAGAATCAGCAGTTAAATTCTGGCCCTTACGTATCCCTGAAGTACATGCCTTGAATTTGACAACTGAAGTCATGAATACCTTTGCATCATCAAGGAGTGGACTTCCTGGCTCTGAATCAATGGAATAGGGAGAGAATCCAGCCTGTGATCCCGAGTCTGAGGCTGGAGGAGACATCAGCAGCACATTCTGATTGAACTCATCTATCTTCAGATCCACATCGTTGTCAACCAGGCTGCTTAGGTCAATGCCCTTCAACAGCTCTGCAAAAATCAGAGTGCATTATGTACACGTTTCTTGATCCTGCATCCTGCCAGCATCACTCAGACTGGACATCAAACACCAGTCATCATCAATACAACCTCTGTCAAGGATAAGGAACTGCAAGAGGCATCCTAACATTTATGCTGTGTACCCCCCGATGCCGCACAGCCTCCACAACTTACTGTTTTTTTGGTTAGCCAGCTTCAGAACCATGTTCTCCTGTCTCAGCTTATGGTTGGCCTGCTGTAGGTATTTAATGTAATCAATGGCTTTTCTCAGGACTCCAGACTTGTGCATCTGCAAGGAGTTAAGACATGGAGAGCATCAAAAGGTCACTCCTGCCTTGTAGGGATACCACAACTCTTTGTATCATGTGCTGATGAAGAGAAAAAGTGTGTAAAGGACCACTCAGCAACTGTAAAGAGACTAATGGCAGGGCACATTCTGCAGCCAAGGCAACAGACAGATCTTACAAAGACAGTGCAATAGAAACAGGTTAACATCCAAATTACAACAGAGCTCACATCTAGGTTTCAGCCAGAAGTAGTCCTTCGAAAGCGCTGCAGCTTTAAAATGAAGTGGCTCTTCTGGGATGGAACAAGCTGCTGTCTGTTAACCATCATTCACTGTTTAATTGTAAGTGGCTCGCTCCTTGCCTCACTCCCTTGACCATCCCCATGAAATTACTTGGTTCCAGCAGCAGCAGACAGATTAGCTTGTAAACACAAGCCCGAAGTACTAGGAAGCCACTGCACACTACCAGTGATTTTAAAACATAAGCTTCCAATTTCACCCAGCAATAGGAAATGACTTCACTAGTGCATGTATGTGTGTGGAGACCACGCAAGGTATCAGCAACACTACTCCCTGCTCTGTCAGCATGAGGTAAGGTGAATGGAGCAACCCTGAATACATGGTGTCAGAAAGTTTCTAATATTTGAGCAAATAGTTTTTACTCCTCAATATCTAAAGGAAATATATCGGAAGACTCTGTAAACCCTCATCTCTACTGCAGTTATATGGAAAAGGAAACTTAAACAAGCTCTGGTCTGGCAGAGTTATCAAAACATCCACCTGGATACTCTGCGTAGAAGGCCTATGTAAGTTAGGCCTAACAAAAGAACCAGCACATAAGGTATAGCTCATTTTCAAGAAACAGCACCACTAGCACAATAAAGTAAGCATTTTACAGGTGACCCTTCCTGAATACAATTATCAAGCTTTCCATCACACAGGTGATTGATAGCAAGGATAAGACACCAGTCTTATCCCGATACATGTGTGCATACTAAGTCACACGTCCCCAACAGCTTCACTTAGTAGAGCAACAGTCACCCCAAGACAAAGAATTTACGACACCAGATTTGCTCTTACTCCACATCTTTACCTTGGCATCTGTGCCCATGACAAGGTCCTTCAGCTCAATGATCTTGTCATTTATGGATGACCGGTAACGCTTTTCAATGATGTTGTGAGTTGTTCTCCTCTCTCCTTCTTTAGGTGGCTCTGGTTGCTTGACACCCCCAGGGACTTGCTTGATAGGCACCTTTTCTTGTCCCACCATCACCGGCATTGTGGTCAAAATGGTCCCATTGCTCCCAACGAGGGTCTACAGAGACCATGTGTAACAAGTGTCACTAACAGTCGACCAAAGTAGGTAAGGTTTATGATGGTAAAAGAAAAAGAAAGTAAATGAAAGAAAAATCAGGGAAAGTTTGTAAAGCTCAGAAAAGAAGAGATAGGCCAGTTTCATGCCATCCACCTCAGCTGGCATGAGCACCGCCACAGCAACACAGGAAAAGCCTGCCACTCCGCCTCCCATACTGGTCATTGTGGAGCAAGAGCATCGCTTGTTCGCCAAGAGCATTAACACTCTTCTGCCAGCATTATGCTCTGTTCCTCCACTAAATAGAGAAATGAACCAAGGTTCCTTGTTGTTCCTACAATCCTTACGCCTCAAGTGCCCAAATCCACCTCTTCAGTGGACAAATAAAGTCACTGAATCAGCAACAGGCAATGCTACTTCCAGACTGGTAAAGGCAGTGTTAGAAAGGACGTGACTATGGAAAAAAATCCTTTGCTTGGGCATTGCAGTTGCTGAACTCGATTAAATGGACAAAAAAAGAACCATAACTTATGAAAAGTTCTTAAGACAAGGAACTAAGACAACGAGTGATACACACTGGCGTGAAAAGCTCAGACATGGACATCTAGAGGTAGGATAAACCACCTACACCAAACTAAAGCAGTATGTACTCTGTGATAAAAGATGACAAATCTCACCAAAACAGTTGCACAGAGCAGCTTCTAGCACATCTGTAGAAAAGAAAGGTTAAACTGCTTGATCCAGCAAAACGAGACTGAGGTGGTTACACATGTTCTCTGAAGTACACCAAGGACCAGGGAAGTGGTACTTCCGTCAAGAGGCAGACTACCAAAAGTGAGGATAAACTAGCCATGAGCAACTGCAGGAGTAATTCTGACACTGAAAGAGTCTTCTAATTGGGATACTGGAAATTAATTGAGTTTCATTTCAAGCTGGAACTTCACAAATAAGTGAATGTAAATCCTCCACCCTTCCTTGGCTAATTTCCACCAAATCTCAATGTGTTCAAAATGCTTTAGAGATTCTATATCGGGCAGACACAATCACAAAAACCTCATCTTTGTATGAAAAAGTTACCTAAAAGCAATCAGGTTAATTGAAGACTTTAGCCTGGCTGCGAACAAGTACATACAAAGCCTACCATGCTATACAAAAGTCAAAACTTAAGTCTGGATGTGCAATTTTATCTCCCCCAGTAAATATTTGACCAGAGGTATGTTAGAATGTACAAGATTGTAACGAATGTGTCACTGGGGGCACAAGTTTCTCAGAGTTGATAAGAAGTGGAGGCCATGAAGCACAGCTGCTATCTGCAATGATTACACTGAGTCCTCACTGCAAATGCCCTCTGAAGAGCAGCTTAACCAGTTATCAGATCCAACATACTGCTATTAGACACTACTGAGGGGTAAAGGAACATTCCACAGGTATTCTAAGTGAGTTAGTTTTCAGTTTCAAGTATCTTCCAGAGGTTAAAAACTGGATGGAATTTTTAGGTCACGTTTCTCTCCTTGTAATACCAGAAAAAGGTAAACAGAAACATGCCCTTGGTCTTTGCTTACTGGCCATGGGAGGCTGCCAAGAAAGTACAATCTGTGTGTTTAGCCTTGGCAGAAACAGGGTATTACTTGCTCTGGACGTGTCTAGAGCAGCCCTCAAAATCCCTCCCATTTGCACCACTGCAGAATACTAATGCCCAGGTCTCCTCACTGAGTTAAGAGGAAAGCAGGTCAGAGAGGAAGGAAGAACATCCATATGGTACCTGCAGAGCTGTGGTCTGAATGGGAGCAGTGAGTGCTGTCAGTGCTGGGTTCTGTACTGCAGCCATAACAGGATTACCATCCGCTTTCAAGGTTGTCAAGACAAGAGAGTCCGTTTTTATGATCTGAGGTTGGACCAAAACCTAGGTTGAAAAGAGTCAGAGGTGAAGGTGAGAGCAGGTATGTATTTCCCGCCTGATCTCAGTAGCCAGAAGTAAGCAAAGACAGAGCTGTAACTCATCAGTGGATGCAGCAGGGCAAGTATTTCTTTCACCTGCATCACCTGGATGGTTTTTGTCAGACCCTCATGCAAACTCTGACCATGAGACCCTCTGAATGCTGCTGGAGGGAGGGGAGCACAGGAAGCACCAGGACATTGGTTTTCAAACCAATCACCAGAAGTAAACACATAGGAAAAAACCCACAAAAGAGCTGATGGAAAAGCTCCCTTCCCCTCTCCAGTTACACCTTTAACCAGCTGTCTGTATTAACTGGTTGAGTACTCAGAGCCTAACATGGCCAGGACACATTTACTTTGGCAAATACCTGTAGTAGCTTTCGCCCCTCCAATGTCACTGAAAGAATTCGTACATGAATATCAAGCGGGTCCACAATAACTGCAAGTTATTTTGCCATAATACAGCCAGCCCTTATAAGACACTGCAGATGTGGTGGACTTGCAAAGAAGCAGGCACAAGTCAAAGAAAGCTTGTTCAAGTAAGGTTTCCAATCTGATCTGGCAGCACCAGGTTACAGAGATATTTCAGACCAAGTTTAGTTATGCATGTGATTCAGTGAAAACGGTTTCTGAGCGTGGCCCACTACTTGGAAGCCACACCATAGCTCGTAACAGGGACTCTCACACATGACTTGAAGTAAGATGCATCTGGAACACAGACTGGTTAAAAATACCTCTCACACATAAAAATGCTTGTGCAAAAGCAAGGACCAGGACCGCCAGCTCTACAAGCTTCACCACCTTTTCCCTGGCAAGCCATGGGACCAGACCCGCAAAAGCGATTCCTTCTGCTGCTGGATCCCTGCCTCACTCTGTATTTTCACTTACTGGAACTTGCTGGACCTGTGGTGCAGCGACCGTCTGGACTGTGGCTGGCGTTAACGTCTGGATGGTGCCGTTGGCAGCTTGTGTTAGCACCCGCTGGGCCTGCACAGTCTGCACTTGCTGCTGGATGGTAACTGGCTGGACCTGGGAGGATGTCACCAGGCTCTGGACTTGAGGCTGGAGAACTGGAAGGCAGAAGAGAGATGTCAGAAATAGAGCAGAGACACAGGTCTCCGTTATGGAGCCTGTGAACACTCCCAGCTTCACTCCTCTTCTTCCCAGAGCTTCTCAGTAGGCAGCATTCATCTGACACATCCCACATGTTGGGAAGCTTCCAGCTCCTTTGGTGCCTCCTGCAAGAGGACTCTGCACCTAGAATAGAAGTTTCCCAGGAGTCACAGAGGATCAGCTAAGAGAAAACATAGTAAAAAACCTTTGCTCTGCTCGCACAGGACTCATGACTTCAGTGCCATTATTGCAGTACATCCAACCAGCACTTGCCCGCTCCCACTCATCCTGGTGGTCCCTAGGATCCTACTCATCATGTAAAGAATCAATACCTAATGAAAAGGATCAAGACAACCAGCATTCACAAAGGAAGCTCCGGTCATCATTAAAGGACCTTAAAAGTGCCTCTGCTCAATGCAAGTACTGCACTTGAGAATTCAGTCGTTTAAACATGCCTTCATTCTGGACTGCCACATGGGACAGGTTGGAGCTTCAGGACTGGATCTGCCTGCAGCACCCATCAGGAGGAGGGCAGCGTTGCCAACAACCATATTTAAGCCATACTTTTCTCAGGCCTCCCAAGAATCGTAAGAAAGAAGGCCACAACAGAGGAGAGCACCAAGAAAACAACTACTGCAAGAGACCAAACAAAAGATCTCATTTATGACAGCTGCTCACGCTCCCCCAACCCCAAAGCCATGCAGGCAGGAGAAGGGACACCCCACAGGCAGCATCACATGGATCATCATGCTTGTCATGGAGGTTGAAGACTGACATTGTTTATTGTGAGCACCCCAACCACTACCTTGGAAACTGGTGGCTGCGTTCTGGTAGATCACGGGCTGCTGGATAATCCTGGTCTGGGGAGCAGAGCTGAAGGTCGGTGCAATCATCACAGCCTGCTGCTGGAGCTGGGGCTGGAGCGGGGGCCGGGGCTGCAGGAGCGGGGCTGAGCGCGGAGGGGCCGGAGGTGTTCCCTGTGCCGCTTTGGCAGGCAGGCTCTGGAGCTGGGGGGATGCAGGGGACGGCGGGAAGGGCTGGAGCTGCACTTGGCTGTAGGGCCGCTGCAGCTGCGGCTCCAGGGTCCCGCCATTGCTGCTGCTGCCGCCCTGGAAGGTGCCACACAAGTGATCCGAGAACAGATCCGGGAAGTCCCCTGCCTGGTTACTGACAAACTGCAGCATCTCTGTAAAACAGAAGGAAACGCGTTCAGCGCTGGTTTACTGCCCGCACACTTTGACACCCACCACTACATCAGGACTAGGATGATGGCGTGCTTGAACAGAAGGGAGCTCTGGGTCTTTCAAAACCTCCAGAGAACATACCACACCAACTGAGCACCTCCAGACAGAATCCGAGGGGTGGCCAGCATCCACCTGCCTCTCGCTGTGCAGAGCAAAGGGCAGGACTCTCCTCCACCACCTTCCCAGACCACAAGATCCAAGCACAGACTAGAACTTCTCCATCTCCAATATATCGAAAATGCTCCTCTCATTCCATCACTGCTCCAGTCTAACCCTTGCAGAAGGAAGAAACCAAGCACCTTTCCAAATCCAGCACTAACCTTCCTCCCACACAGCTTTTGGGGTGCTTTCAAGCCCCCTAACCCTCCTGCCCCACTGAGTATCTGGAGGATGAAGAACTGGAATAAGAATTCACCTTAACTTTGTTTTACTTTTAAGCATACCAGAAACTGGAGAAAACACACTAAAGGAAACGCTACCTTATAGAAGTGCTGAAAGAAGGAGAAATCCACACAAGTGTGTAAACAACCAGAATAACTTTCTGTGTTGGCTTTTTGCCTATTTACCCCTGCCCGCAATCACTGCACAGCAGTTTCTCTCCACCCCACCTTCTCCAGGACTTATTCAGCCCACACTGAGAGAGTGCTACCGCAACACTACAGCTCTCCCCGCACAGGAAAAGAAATGCACAACCAAGAGATCACTGTTCATAAGTGAAGCTTCCTTTTCTCTCCATCTAATCCAATGTAATCCAATTACGCACCTAATCTACCCGAATGCTTCCCCCGTTCTGTGTGGGAGGTGGCAGGAGGAGTCAGACATCCTTCCCCACCCCAGGATCTGCCCAGGCTGCATTGGCTCCATCACTGTCCTCTGAAAACCATGTTTATTTTTCTTCTGGAAGTAGGAAAAAAAGGGAGGGGACCCACAAACATAACAGAGGGTTTATAATTAAATCACGGATTCGGGTTTAGAAACTAGAAAACGGCTTTGTGATTTATAGGAAAAAATACAGCAGAGGGCTCCTTACACCAGGAGCTCTCTCATCCACAAACCTGAAAGACGCTGCTGCTGTGGTTTATGAAGGGGGTTCGGAGAAGCAAACTCTTCACTGCTTCCATGGACATCGTCCCAGCAATAAGAGAGCTATTCATCTGCTGCTCCGAAATGCCACCTACATGCTATACAATCAATTTGCCTGATGCTCCTGAGGCAGAGCAAAGGGACTGTCCTCCAAGCTTCCTGCTCCCTCAATGAATGTTTCACCATGTTGCTTTATCTCCATGATACTACTTCCCTTCCAACAGCAATCTTCCCACACCCTCAGAGACGTTTAAGCATTGACCATGACCATTGCTCTAAGAACTCGGGTCTGTTGCATGGAGAAGCTTGGGAGGGGATATGTCCTCCAACGCTAAGCAGGGACACAGCTCCCCAGCATGGAGCAGCAGCCACCCTCAGGGACCAGCTGGACCAAACCTTTGGCTCCACTTTTAACTAGAGAAATGAGAGATGTTAGGATTTCAAGTACTGTGTTTTAAAGAACATCGTGTTCAATACAGACTGAATATCTTAGTAAAAGAAACTACTCTTGCTGTCATGAGTTAAATCACATCTTTATCACAGACTTAACTTCGACTAAGTGCAACATGTCTAATGATTAATCTTAAAGAATTACACTGCCAGAGGATCCAACCCACCTTTTTTAAAGTGCCCAAGAGCTTTCCTAGTAGCAGCACAAGAAAAATCAAGTGGGAGAAACAGCAACACCCAAAATCCAAATCTCTGCCTTTCTTTAAAACACCTTTGCCTACACAGAGAAGAGGGAGAGTGTCTCTTCTGGAGGACAACTACTGGTGATAAACCCATCCTTGCCATATCATGCACACCCTCTGTGTTGAACAGGTCTTGGTCCCTAACACAGCGAGATGTCACTGCAGAGAACTACCCGAACCCAGACCAAGGCTAAAAAGTGTCCATAAGGTATTGTGAAACCAAACCCACCAAGCACTCTCACTGCCCAGAATACCTGACAGAGAGGCAAGGGCTGGGCTTTAGCTGCCTCTCCTAGTCAGTGGCTCAGCTCTCCTGCACATGGACTGCTCTTCCTCATGCTCCTGGAGACGCGGTGCTTTGAGAATGGAAAGCAGTGGAGATCCCAACCCAGACAAACAACTCATCCACCCTGAACCCAGACGTGCTTCATACCCACAACCAGCTTAGGCCTCGCTCTCCAGCACTGCCCTGCCAGTGGCTGGCAGGGGAGCTTGCACCAGGGCAGGCGGCAGAGCCAGCTCAGCACCAGGAACCCCCGATCAGCCTCGTGCCCCATCCTGGAGCAGCATCCTGGTGAGCACCGACATCCCAGAGCAGTTGATGCATCTGCCCAGCCAGTGTCACTCCTCCTCCACTGCCAAGCATGAAAATCAGGCAGCGAGGGTCCCTCAGCCTGGAGAGGAGAGGAACATCAAGACCTGCCAACAAGACAACCTGAAACCAAATCAAAGCCCTCGCAAAGTTTCAAACCTTGAGATGGATCCATGACAGATGGAGCATAAAAAAAAAGCCCCCAAAAGCAGGATTGCCATATACCTCCCCCCAGGAAAATCGGGGAGGAGGGAGGGCAACGCTCCTTTTCCTCAGTTACTCATCACTCTGAATCACACCTCCCCGGGCACACCGTGGCTCCACATTCATCAGAACTCTGTTTCCATATGGATCCCGAGAAGTCATTCCGTGGTGCTTTAACCACAGCAAACACCACCTCTCGTTAGCACCAACTGTAAGAGTGATATAACTGAGCGCCTTATGTTCTCACAAGGGACTCTCCTTTTACATGTGATACATTACAAACAGGAGGGTATACATTTTGCCCCCCTCTACACTGCAGATCAATCACAACTAGAAATTCAAAAGCAACTGTTTCAGTTTTACTTCCCAGGTGCTAAGTAAGAATGCTTTGCCCATCAGCTCCCCAAAGCTGAGCTCTCTTTGGGATTACAGCTGAGCAGAGCAGCGGAATGGAGCCAGGTCCCCATCTCCAGCCGACAGCTCATCGAGAAATTTACATTTGTAATGGGTTTTCAGGAGCTGTTTGGGAAACTCCTGGCGAGGCGCTGCACAGGAGCGTTTCACTTTCCTGCGCTTCAGTGGGAACCACAGCGAGCCTCAGCTCTGCCATCGATGGGCGAAGTTTTGGGATAAAAATAAGGAGATTTGGGGGGGGAAGGCGAAATTTAAGCAGTTACACCTGTTTCGGTGAAGGGGCATAAAGCGCGGCCCCCCACAGGCACGAGTGGCCGCACAGCTCCGGCCATCGTGCAGCACCGAGGACACACGGGGTGCGCCTGGGCAGCACTGTTTGCTGCACGGGAGGGATCCCCACGCACGCGTTACAGCCTCGACACCCCCGGCGTGGCCCAGGTCCCTGGGAGCGGCTGTGCGGCGATCCCGGGTGGGAACCGTCACCGGCCGCCCGTGCCACGCGGGGGGACACGCGTACCCGCTCGCCAGGCCAGCGCTGCCCGGCGGGACACCCCACGCGTGCTGGGACCGAGACCCGAGCAGCGGGACCACGCCGGGCGACCACCCCGCTCCCCACCGGGGCGGAATGGGGGGCACGACATGGAGAGAGATTCACGCATACAATCTCCCCGTGCGGAACCAGCACCCCGGGCCCGTGAGAGCAGCAACCCCCCCACCACGCCGCTCCCTCCCTCCCTTCCTTCCTTCCCTCCCTTCCCGCGGCGCTCACCGTCGATGTCGCCCAGGGTGAGCTCGTCGCCCAGCTCGGTCAGGCTGTCCATGCTCTCCACGCCCAGCTCGCCGCCCTCCATCGCGCTGGGCCCCGCCGCGGCCAGGCGCTCCGGCGCATGAACCCCGCCGCAGGCGCTCAAGCGGAGGCTGCCGGTGAGCGCCACCAACCCCGCGCCATCTTGGGCCGCCCCAACACCGCGGAGGCTCCGCCCCCCGCCACGCCCCCCGCGGTTTGTTGTCAATGAGACCAGGTCGGCACAGGCCAATCGGCGGGCGCTGCGGCGCGTGGTGTGATGGTGCGTCAGCGATCAGCAGCTTGCGATTAGCATGCGGTGCTCCGCCCCCCTTATTAGAATATTCATGAGGGGGCGTGACAAAGGCGGGAAGCGGCACTCTGCGGGCACTCGTGGAGCGGGCCCGGAATTGCGCTCTCGCCGTTGCCTGCGGGACACCCGCCGGGACATGGATCGCATTCCCGGGCTTGGAGGGGATAAAGGCGAGGTGGAAGGCGGCGGTGATGGTGCTTAGAGGATGGGGATTGTCCCGCCCCGCTGGCACCTCCTTCCCTCAGCAGCTCCTCACGGACCCCTATCTCCTGAGGGGCCTGACCCGCTGCCCTCCAGCACACTCCGCCTCTCACCAGGAGCAGGAGCAAGAGCCAATCTTCTTTTACTTAATAAAAAAAAATAACGTCAAGTTTATTCCATTAAAACAAAACACGCACCCGTTGCCAACCCCCGGCCGGACAGACCTGGCTCCGCGCTTAAACATTCAGGACATTCCCCCCTTCCCAAAGGCCGTGGTGCCCCAGCCGGGCACAGAGCAACTGCTTCTCGAGGACAGTCCCTCTGCAAGAGCCTCGTCTGCTGCCAGTTCATCAGCAACCACGGGAAAGCACAGGGTTGCTTGTGCAGGGTCCCAAGGCCAGGCCATTGCCTCTGATCCCCCTGAAGCCCAGACACTATGGGTGGGAGGATGGGCTCTCAGGGCTGGCTCCCAGCACCATCAGCATCAGTGGTACCTGTACTATGCACACCCATCAGCCGCAAAGAAGGCAAAGAACTGAAACCCCTCCTTTCCAACGATTCACCGAATGTTTGCCTCCCTTCTGGGAATGCCCGCCCAGGAGAGCAGGATGTTGCTGGGCCAGGAACAGATGCCGTCAGCCTTTCCTACGACAGCTGATGGATGAAACACGTTGCTTGCTGAAACAGGCACCGGGAAGAGGGAAGAGCTGCTCCGGCAGAGGTAGCGGCTGGGCAGAGACCAGGTATAACCGGGTGGGGGTGCCAATGGTTCTCACCAGTCTAACCAAAAAAAGAACCACCCCAAAACTGAGCGAAGCAGCATCGCTCATGAGGCTGTTTGGTGTGACACGCTCCCAGCCCACCATGACGGAGGAGGCACGTTCAGTGCCGGGCGTGCTGTGGAGGGGGGGATCCCCCGGCTCCCCCTCGCCCTACTTCCCCACATGCCATGGGGATGGCCCCACTGCCCTCCCGATTGTGCTTTGGCTCTGCAGAAGGGGAACCCCACGTCAGCCCTCCTCAGCCCCACTGGGGCAACCCCCCAGCATCGCCACCCAGCCGAGGCTGAACCAAAGAGAAGGGCAATGAAACAAAACCCCACAGCACAAACGGGAAGTGATCACCAGGCACCGGGACGAGGCCGCCGAGAGGGAGCTACAGCTCCGACTGCGAGCGGGAGATGCGCGGGCCCTTGCGGATCTCCTTCCGCTTCTCCTCCTTCTTCCTCCGCTTCTCCTCCTCCCGCAGCGCCTTCTGGAAGGTGTCGGCGCTGGGGAAAAACTGTGGGGTGACAGCGAGGGGTCAGCACGGGGGAGCCCCCGCAGCCTCCCGGCGGCACAGACACCCCAAACCCGTGAAGCCAGCAGTGCCAAGGGGATGAGGTTGGACACGGCACGAGGGGAATGGGGTCCCGACATTCCCATGGGCCACAGGAGGGAGGAGATGGCAGCACATGCCCTAAGCCAACCGCAGCCCATCAGGGGAATTTGACAAGCGTGGTTCAATTATGCTTCCTCTGTGATGGGGCTTTTGGCCGTTCCCCACCAAGCCACCAACTGGGAGAGAGAAGCGCATGGGGCAAGCTGGCAGCATTGCTGTCTCACCTCAGAGTGGTCCACTTTAAAGGGATTGCGATAATCGGGCGATTTCTCACTGATTCCCAGCTCCTGAGCCATCTGCGGAGCAAAGGGAGACTGCGTCGGGAAGTCGTGGCTCCCACCTGCACCCCGCCATGGTCTCTTCTTCCCCACCAGCCCCCTCCATGTTCTTCCTCATCCCTCAGCCCAAGGACAACCTTCAGACATGGGGTACGCTCCCCACGCCCTCCTTTGATCCCCAAAACCTCACACCCCCCCAGCCCCAGCAGCAGAGAAGGGATCAGGAGCCATACCAGCCCCAGGACCTGGGAGTGGGGTCCCTGCTCAAACACGCCTGTCAGGTTGCAGAAGCCGATGCCCCAGCGGATGAGGCTGTTCCAGTTGGAATTGCGGTCGAAGTAGTGGTGCACAATCTTGGGGAAGCGCAGGACGACGTCCCCAAAGAAGGCCGTGTTCTCCACCACGTGGGAGTACGCTGTGGGGAGAGCCACCAGCCCCATCGGCACACGAGCCCCATCCCACTGGTGAGGCCAAGCGGGTAGGCTGCCCAGGTCAGAGAGGCAGCAGTAAGGTCCTTGATGGACAGGGTCCAGCCCAGGTCTGGTGTGGGTAAACAGGGCTCCCAGGAGGAATGGCAGCAGTGCACCGGAGCCCTAGGGAAGGGAGGGGGTAAGGAGAGGAGAACACCTACCATCCTTTATCTTCTCATCCTGAGGGAATGGTCCATCGGGAGGCACATCGGCAGCGATGAGCACAGCACGGGAGTCCTCTAGCACCTGCCAGAGCCCTCAGTTACTGCCCCATTCTGCCTGCCCTTCCCTGTACCCCACGGGTGCTGCCCCAACAGCATCCTCCCTCCAGGACCTAAATCCCACCCAGCTCTTCTCTTTGACCCCACACAACGCCCCGGTCCTCCCCAGCCCCACAGCACACCAAGCCTGGAGGGTGCTGTGGCTCACTTTGAAGAGTCCCTTGAGCATGATGTCAATGATTTTGTACTGCTGGTTGATGTCGTTGAGCTCGATAAGGTTCTTCAGTGCGTTCATCTGGTCCTTGCGCTTCACCTCAAACAACTTCTTATCTTGCACCGTCGTCAAGGGCACCACCACCACCATGCTCCTGCCATCTCCCTCAGCCAGGTACCCAGCACCACCCCATGGGGTGCCTGAGGGATGGGGGCAGTGCCTAAGCCAGGGTGAAGCACGGTTTCCCAGTGAGCCCCTGCACCCAGACATCCCAGTGGGACACTTAACAGCACTGGGTGCTCGTGGGGAGCTTTCCACTCACCAGACACTGGCTGACAGCAGAGGGGGGAAGATCAGCTCCCACCTTCCCCATACACGTGTCAACAAGCACACAGGTATCTTCTCATACTTCACCTGTCGACCAGGGGATGCTGCCATGTGCTAAGAAGGGCCTACATTACCCCACCTCCTCATGGGCAATAAACGCCTGGGGCACAGAGGAGACCAAGTTCTCTTATCCCAGCCAGTGATCCCAAGGCACAGGCATGCTCTGCCACCCCGCTGGACACCCCAAGAGCAGACTGGGAAACGTGCTCAGCACCCAGGATGCTGGAGTGGACAGGAAAAGCACTGTGCATGGGAGAACACCACTGAAAAACCCATCTTTGCTCTTGTATGGAGTCAGGCACTTGGTGGGCAAACCCAGGAACAATGAGCAATGAGACCACTGCTCACTGGTTCTGGGTCCTCCCTCTCCCCCCATCCTGCCACCCCTCTGGTGGTCTCTGCCCCTCTCCCTGCAGCCCTAAGCAGGCATGGTGCATCCACAGGGCAGGAGGGGCAGGCTGTGCAGAAGGATACAGATCTCCAAGCCAGAGTCCACCCTCTGTTTCTCCAGGTCAGTGGAGCTGCCCCGGGACAGCAGCAGCACCAGCAGGACAGGGCAAAGGAAGAGAAGATCCATGTTGGCCGCTGCAGCCTGCAATGGAACAGACCAACAAACCCAGTGAGGAGACTTACCACAGCCACAGGAGCTCCTCAGGGCCCACAGCACATTGCCCTTGGTGTTAGGGTCCCACCTGCCTCTCCCCTGTCCCCATGAGAGGCTCAAAGGAGACAGTGTCCAGAGCAGGGTGACGGCTGTGCTGCAGCCAGCCCTCCTCTCTGCCTGCCTCCGCTGCTGGCTGGGCCCCCGGCGGCCTGGCTGAGCACTGACCCAGCACAAAAGCAGAGCCCTACCCCTTGTCCCAAAAATAACACTGGCTTTTTGCTGGGTTTGCAAGTGGGAGCAGCCCAGCAGCCGCAGCAGCAGGGCCGGAGGTGGAGGAGGGCTGCCAAGGGGCTCCACTCTACCTCTCCTTCAAGCACCTGGATGGCTTGGCCACCTCAGCCACCTCCACCTCTCGGGGTGCTGGTACCTGGACCCTTCCCCTTGCTGCAAGCCAGGTGCCAGCTGCAGCAGTCGGGTGACCTGGTGGCAGCTCCCCCCATGCACGTCCTCCCTTCTGCAGCAATGCAGCCAGGCTGAGGTACTCCTGGCCAGGAGGGTCCCTCAGACCACACAAAGAAGAGACGCTACAAGAGGAAGATCCTTGAGAGCAAGGACCCTAGGGACAGCCTAGACCCTGCAAAGGGGAGGAGCGCCTCAGCCTGCGGGCAGTGGGACTCGGGGCAGCCTGTGCACAGGGACGGTGTTCCCAAGCAGCGGCCGCCAGCAATTACTGGAGCAGCAGCAGTGCTCTCAGAGCATCCCCCGGCCGCCTCCTGCTCCCGAGGCCACGAGCACTGCCCTCACCCTGACACCTGCTCCCCTCCCCAGCCCGCGCTCCCCTGTGCGGCCGAGCCTCTCTCCGCAGTGCTAGCACTGGAACACAAACAAATCCCTTCGTCACACCAGATCCAGGCGGTTCCTTGCGAGTCTGTCCAGCCTCAGGCCCAGGAGCGAGGCAAAGCTGCAGCACCGGCTGCTCTCCCAGCCCCGCAAGGGGCAGTGGCAGCTCCCAGTGAGCTGAGCCAAGGGCCCTTGTACCCCCGGCACAGGCAGGGAAACATTACCAGGAGAACATAAGAAACCCTCTGCATTACTTTGCTGTCGTGCTGTGCAACAGGCAGCACCCCTGGGAGGGAACAGATCAGAGTACAACCAGCGTTACAGAGACAGGCTCAGCATCACACCCCATGTTCTGGACACAGCGCAGAGCCAGGACAGCAGCACAAGCCTCCCGCTCCAGACCTGGGGTCCGTCCCCTCTGTCCACCACCATCTTGCAGTATATTCCAGCCACCCTGGAGGCCACAGAGCCGAGGCTGTGGGGACTGATCCTCCAGCCCGGGCAGGCAGATGCTCTGCTGGAGCCACCAGCCTGGTCAGCCTCCAAGAGGCTGCTTCACGCTGCCAAAACCCATGACACCAGGGCCAAGGCCTGGCTCCGCAGGGCCCCCCACAGCTGCTCGCTCCCCCCCAGGCTCTCGGGAGGAGGAAGAACAGCGGCTCAGAGCACAGAGTGTGACTGCTCTGGGACCCCGCGTGCCCCGCATCCAACACGTGGCCGCGAGAGCCGGGCTGGCTGCGTGCCCCGGTTACAAAGCGCGGCTCTCAGCCGAAGCAGCTGCCGGCCAGCTGGTTGCTGGAGCTGGGATCCCACCAGCCTGCTGGCAGCCCCCGCGCCTCGAGACGGGCTCTTCCAGAGACACGACAGCGGGTACAGCAGGATGGATGGATAATGTGCTCAATAAGGATGCTTTTAATGGCTTTAAAAGTCCTCCTCAGCAGTCCTGCAGGTCGTGCCATGGGACAGGGTTGGAAGCAGAGGACCAATGAGCCATGCCATACAGCTGCCCATCACCTTTCCATCTGACCCCTTCCCTGATGACACTTGTTCTCACATCAAAGGTACTGCCATCATCCATCAGGCCTGAAACAGCCCCATGACAATCAAATAGGAGCCAGTTGTTGCCCCCATCCATAAGGTAAGTGAGGCTGCTGGTCCCACATGGCACCAGCTTGAGTTCATTCCCGGTCACTGCCCTGCCTGTTTCACCCCATTTTAGTAGCAGAGGGCATTCAAGGCTGGACTGGGTAAGCAGAGATGCCAAAGCAGATGCTCCTCCATGCTTTCCCCTTATGTCTTCACACACACGAGGGGTAGAACAGAAACAGGGCAGAACTGCTCCTCTCTTCCCTCCCTAAACCAATCCCTGCCAAAGCCGGCTCTGCCTGGTGCTCACAGAGCACTCCAGGGAGCCAGGGCCTGTCCTGATGCTACAGATGGGAAGGAGTTCCCACCAACGTTCCCCTCGCAGCCCTGGCCAGCCGGCTGTTTCAGCACAAAGCCCACCAGTCTGTTCTGTTGTCTCCCATCCTCTTAATTTAGATATGTTTTTCCACAGAGACGACAACAGATGCTGTGTTATAGATGGTTAGTATTTTCCATTAGAATGTTTTTAATGACTTTATAAATTCTCCTGCAGGAGCCCCATCTGAGCCGAGCATCGCTGGGATTTATTCGCTTAATGAGCTCACCAGGCAGAGCCACGCTCCCACACTTGGATTCCCAGGAGGACCCATTTGCAGGACACCCTTTCCCCTCTGCAGGGGTAAAAGCACCACCATGCAGCTCGCCCCAGGCGCACGCTGTGCCCAAACAAGGGATGAAAACTCCCCACCCCATGGATGCACCCCTGAGCTGCTTTGCTCCTCCATCAACCAGATGAGGATGAATCTCTTGTCACAGCTGAACCAAAAGCCTTGGCAGACAAACGCAGGCTGCTCAGACCACTTCTGCTAGGACACATCTAACACAGCCGGCTGCTTCAGTGAAGCCGTTTACACCTGCTTCCCTCCGAAGTCCCTTCACCGCCAAACGCACAGCTCGCCTCCCGCAGGGATGGACGCCAGCTGGGGTTAGGCACCCAGCGAGCTGCTCTTGATTTCCACCCAGAACGGACACGGATCGCGCCTCCCATCCCGCACCAGGGGGTCAGCAGCAGCACCCCGCGGGCACAGGCAGACGGGGATTCTCTTTCAAGCATGGCTGAAAGTAACGGGAACCACACGGGGATGGAGATGTTGAAATGGGATTAGCCAAGACAACCTGGCCGCGCTGCGGGGAAGCCACACAGAGCCGCGTCAAGTGGCCGCAGCAGGCAGCACACCGCAGAGTGCAAACCACCCCGCGGGACGGGACGGGACGGGACGGGACGGAGGGGAGCGGAGGGCTGCCCCCCGGTGCTGCCGCCGCTGTGCTCCTCACACAGCCCCAGCGCGGGGCGAGGGGCGGCAGTGGCAGACCCCTCCGGCCGGGAGCACAGCCGGGACCCGCGGCTTGGCCACCCCGGGCGGGCTTCCCCCTCCCTTCCCTCCCTCTCTCCCTCCCTCCGCGGTGTCCCCGGGGCGCTGCGGCCACCGCCTGCCCGCTCGCCGTGCCCCAGCGCAGCCCCCGGCCTGCCCCAGCCCCCCCGGCCCCGCTAGGCCAGGGCAGGGCTCCCCGCTGCTCCGTACGGGCCGGGCCCCTCACCTGCGGGCCGGGTAGCGGGTACCGGGTAGCGGGTACCGGTGCCGGGAGCGGCGCTCACGCCCGCCGCGCTGCCATGCCGCTGCCGCCGCTTCCCAGCCCCGCCCCGCGCGGCCGTGTCACTTCCTCAGCTCCCGCCCCGCCCCGGCACCGGCCCCGACGGGGATGGAGGGAAGAGGGGGCCGCATCCGTCTGTCCTCTCACCCGGGGCTGCAGGGTCCCCCCCGGCTCTGCAGGGGAAGGAACCGCGGTAGTTAAAGCCCCAGTGGGCACTTACAGGGTAGGAGGCAAGCGGCGGTGCGGGGATGTAGCCCGAGGGAGCAGCCGTGAACTGGAAGAAGTCTCCTCTTCCCAGTGGGACAAGCAGCACGTCTGCCCCCAGCCGGGGGGTCTGAAAGAGCAGCCCAGCACCCCTAGCCAGTCCAGAGGAACCCAGCACCGCCAGCTAAGGCGGATGAGCAGCGCGCCTCTTCCACTGCACTCGCATCCCCCGATGGCAACGCTTGCACCAGGAAGGTCCGTGCTCCGGTAACTGAAGAGCATCAACTAAGCCCCATCCCACAAAGAAAAGGACATGAAGAGGCAGTTCAGTAACTTGGCTTTATAAATGATTTTCAACAAACCTTTTTCTGAGAATGAACTACACACGACTTCTGTCCATCTCCTTTCTGCTTCCCACTGGAAATAAACGACCGGATGTAGTGTCCTGTTCCGTTCTTGCCTTGTTCCTCTGGCTGGGTGCACCACATCTTCTCATCTCAGTCTCCAATGTGTGATAGGGACACTGCCACACCTCCCAGGCATCTGTCATTGATGGCATGAGTGGAAACTGAAGGGAAGGCATAGCTGAAACTCCACCATACCATGGGAATTCCCACGTTTGACATAGTGCTGACAGAAGTGTTTCATTACTAAACCAAACCTCCCGCAAGCCATGGAATACCCATCCCACTGCCAACATATACGAGAAACACCAGTGTTTCAGTGAGCCTGGAGGAAGTTCCTTTGTCACAAAACTGATGTCAAAGCTTACTTTTGACCAGATGATTTTGACCTCCAGAACATGACTCTTCAGGTAGCCACCATGGCTGCACTTGGAGCACATCCAAACCCCTTCCTAACAACTGAGATTTGAAGGCTTCTTCATAAGAAAAGCCAGAAACAGGAAGCAACTTGAGCAATGTAATGTGACCTCCCATTCACCTTCCCTCACCCCATGCAGCCACGCAGATGCAGTGGAGAGGAACTTCACGGGGCTGGATGGTCTCCACCTGGACAACCTGTGCTCCGAGCATCCCACCACAGAGCGGTAGCATCACACTGGGGGTGAGCACAAGGACAAGCTGCTCCTTGCAGATGACAAACACCTCTCACCCACCACATCCCCTGCACATGGCTGATGAAGGTGTCCCACAGAGGAGGAAGTCCCCACCCCAACAGGAAATCCCTGCTGCGTCCACCTCCATCACTGACATCTGTCTGAGGCAATGAGGTGTGATGAAAAGAAGAAGGCAAAAGCAGTTTGAGAACTAAACAGATACTGCCTCAGGCTTTGTCTCTCTCCACAAGTAATCTGGGGGCAGTGCCTGCTTACATCCCTGGAGAAGAGGAGGATTCTGTTCTCAGCAGGGACTCTAAGGCCAAGCAGAACACAATTCAGTAACTTAGTGGTTTCTGAATGCTCACTGTCCTCTGCAAGTGCTCAAATCATCTTTGGGTTTCCATGACTCCACAGGCACACTGGCACCAGGTAGCACACAGACAGGGTTAAGTAATTGTTCATCCCCAGGGAAATCAATATCAGATTGTTACTGCTTTGAAGTCCCAGGCTCCCCAGCCTGCTCCCCTTTCATCAGGCCACTCTGCCATGTAGGTGAATGCAATCCCAGCACAGAGTCCCATCTTTCATCCCAAATGTCTCCTTATTTCCCAGATGTCCTCTCAATTTAGGGATGATGAAGTCTTTCATCCCAAAGCTAGCCAAGTGTAACAACCACTCTGAGTTTTTCCAATTCTGTTTGCCTTCAGCTGGAACAAGGGAAGGAGCAACAGATCAAGTATCTCTTCCCTCTGTCTCACCTACCACTCTCCCATCACCTGTCAGTGGCATCTTGCCCAGCAAAGGATACACAACGTCCTGATGTTTTAGAGATGTGGTCCTCTGTCCCAGGAGGCGCTCCAGCAAGGTCTGAATGGTCCCTGCCTGCGCTGGCTCCACCTGGAACTGGCTGCTCTGAATCTGAGCAGTCATAAGAAAAAATGATTTCCAGACCAACAGCAGACTGTTGGGCTTGTTTCTTCATCCCTCCTCCCATCCTTCATCTCCACAGACAGCAATGAGACCTTCAAACTTTGATCCAGGGGAGAATTAAGGGGCCACCAGATCTGATGACACAGTTTAGGCAGTTACTGGCATCACTGGCTTTCCAACTCCTCTGGATACTCCTCAAGGCTGTAGGCCAAGCTAGCAGCTGCAGAACTCCTCTTCATCTTACTATAACCTCCTCAAAAGGAAGTTTATGGCTCCACATCAAAGTCTAAAGCAAGCCCCTATGGATTCCCTTTTCATTTTCCTAGGTAGTCACTGCTCTCTTACCTGACAAAGGAAGAGGCGAAGAGCACGAGATGTGGCCTCAGGCAGCTCTGCCAAGTTGGCTTCTGCTGCCTCCTGGAGAATCTGGCTAATTTCTTTTTGAGAAATAATATTGCTGCTTTTATATCTCAGAAACTTGAACAAAGGAGAAAAATAGAGGCATTAAATAGCAAAAGATCTACAGACTCCAACAGTGACGCAGGTCCTTGGAAAGACCTCTGCTATTTCATGAGATGCTGCAGTACCTTAACCCCTGGCCTGATTTTTACACCGCTTCTTCTAGAAGCAGTGCAAATACCTGTGTTGATGGTGCTCTGATTTATTACCATGTTTATTTTGGTTTAGGTCAGTAAGGAACTGAAATTAACCAGATAACCTTTTAAAAGTGAAATAAGAATAGCAAATATTCACAGACCCATCTTGTATTTGGAGGGGGAAGGTTCACATTAATAACCCATTCCTCTCATCCACTGCCATGAGGCTTTACTTCTGTATTTATGCTGGGCAGGACCACATTCCCTCTCGTTTGCAGGCCCCACGTACAGCAGGGTAGTAGATTGTGGTAACTCTCTGCCCTAAGAAGTCAGATCTGTGAGGCCAAAGATGGGGAGATAAGCTGTGAGGCTGAGCAGAATCTGCTCTCCAAAGAGCTGCAGCACGCTCCCTGATTGGTAACAGCAGTTTCATGCTCTCTGCAGGTTTCCCCTCTCCTCCCCAGGGGTCCTAGACATTATAAGTAAGTGCTACAAACACCAGAAGAACAGGACCTGCTTGCTGACAGCAGTCAGTTTCTGCAGGGTGTGGAAGGGAAGTTCACTTCAAAGTATCGTTATTATGGGGCACAAATACAGCGCCAGACAAAGCCCCAGCAGTATCTGAGACTTGGGTGTGCACAGGGGGTGAGTTCCAGTAACTGATCCACATGCACTGTACCAACATTGTGGGGAAAATGGAGAACTGCCTGCCCTTCCCTGCTCACCAACGTCATCAGCCTGAGCACTTCTGGATGCAGAAAGGACTTCTGGCCCCCTTCGAGTAGTGTGAAGAGCAGGAATCGATGCCAGGGCTGGGAAGCCACATGTAGAGCTGGGAGAGAAGAAGCAGCCAATCAAAGACAGCTTTAAAATCAGCCAAGTGATAGGCTTGAACCCGGGTAAGGACAGTCTTCAACACTGACCTCAAGGTTTCTCTTCTGGACCCCATCCTGTGAAACACTAAGGGGATATTTTCCTCTGTTCTTGCTTGTTAATCTGGCACTTTCTGGGCAAAAATTTAGTTTTGAGGACAAAAGCTTAAAAGCTTTTTTAAAGCAGAAAATACATTTTGTCCATCTCTGTGCTTGTATAGGAAGAGAAACTGTCTCCTGGGGTGCACGTCATAAAATACTTGGGGGATATCTTTAGCCCAGGGTTTTAAAAATAATACCCACTGGTTTCAATATGAGGACAAGTTTCCTGACCACTGGTTTTATTTAGCTGCAGAATACCCTTTGGGGAATGAAGAAAGGCCTTTAACACAAATCGAGCTTGTATCTGCATCAGAGTGCACACTAGGGGGACCAGACAGGCTGATGGTTGCAATGCAAACAAGCAGTAAAGTTCTTAATAAAGAACCTATCTGATGGACATAGATTAAGCCTCAAGGTCACTGTTTGTAACAGCATAAAGTCTCACTGAACACTAAAGTGTTACTACCTTGTATTTATTGCAGATAGGAGCAGGGGATGGACAGCTACAACAGGTCAGCTGATAGAACGTGTTCAACCATGGCAACTCACCTTAGTTTTAGGAAGTCCCTTTGCCACTGACAGTCACATAACCTCCCTATTAGGAGCACAAAACTCTTTCCCATGGGAGAAACCACTCTAAAAAATCATGTAAAATGTTTGGGGGTATCTTTTTGCTGATGGAAATGAGAAAGCATCAGCACTGTGCGCTGAACCTGCTCTGCACATCTGGAAAAATCTCTGGGCCAAAAGAGTGTTTTAGAAAGCCTCAAATGAGACAACTCCTGGAGGCAGAGTCCAGGCCATGCTCTTTCCAGTGTTCTCAGTTCTTTCAGTCCAACATAGCTATGACCCGTATTCTGCTTGGAATAAGGAGACTTCTGTTACCACTGTTGCAATCTTCTGCACTACAGAAAGCATTTAAGCAGCCAAAGTGCAAGGTTCAGCCCTTGCTGAAGCAGCATTGCATTAACTTGACCCCAGATCAGCAGAACCTCCCCAGAACATGGCACTTTTTGTGGGTTTTTTTAAACCTAGCCCTTTAATAGCCTCCCTTCAGCTCCTGCCTGTCATCCATCTGCAGCATCACATCTTCATTCAAACACTTCCGCTATGGAGACAGGCTGAGAGAGCTGGACTTGTTCAGCCTGGAGAAGAGAAGGCTCCAGGGAGACCTTAGAGCAGCTCCCAGTGCCTAAAAGGGCTACAAGAAATCTGGAAAGAGGCTTTTTACAAGAGCATGTGGTGACAGGACAAGGGGGAATGGATTTAAACTGA